CAGCTCATAGGGGCAGAATGATTCAGACTGAATCAATCGGGATGACAGTGATGTGTCAGTTGGGTTAGGATCCTAAATATTTGGAAACGGGTTGCCTCCACCGCGAGAAACAAGAACAATCACCTTGTGATTGAAAGTTGTTGCCACCTGTAGGTGTTGCATCCTCAAGCTCAAGGTCACCACTTAGGTCTGGTAGCCACAACTACTTGCATTTGGTCACCGACAACAATATGAATAAATAAATGAAAATAATCAATCTCACGGGCAACCACCATGGAGGTTGCTGCTCAGTTCCAGAGTTTTTTTCCTTATTTGTTCCTGTATTAAGACTGTTTTAAGTGCAGAAGCCCAACCCACCAGCTGTACAAACCTTCTGTTTACAAGGGGCAGCCAATCAGAAGAAAACTGGCTTAAAGGGAAGGGGAAAGGAGCTAAAATGACTTGGTTCCAACAGAAAATCAACTGAATAGCTGCGCCAAGCCCCGGTATGAGACAAATGATTGTTTTCCAATCATGACTCAATGCAAAGCTACTTTAGTCGAGTCCAAAAATAAAATTATGAAGCAGGAAATGAGCACAACAGGGCCCTTTTAAAAATATTTACTAGAACATGTCATTACCATTTTGCCAGTTTGTTAAATAAAAAATTACAGCAACCGCTCAACCAGAATAATGTATGTGTAAAACTTCCAAACTGTAACATTAAATCAGTTAGTCCCCCAAATTCCCCAAACACACCAGAAAACAGGCACAGCTTCATAAAGCTACAGAATTTCCTTCAATATCAGCTTGTTATCACCCCAATTCAACTGTGGCAAACTCACACTCACTGGGTATTTTAATTAAATATGAACTCGTCTGTGTTTTCCCCTCCGGCACCGCGGTGGCACATGGGGGTTCACGCAGGCAGCATCAGAGCTGCCGACGCCGATATGAGAAGAAAACTCAATCAACAATCATTCATGTCCTCAGGGCCTAAAAAGCTGTAGCAACTTAGACGACCAAGTTTTAAGGCCACAATACTTAGTTACAATATGCACATCTTAAGTGCAATAAGGTGAAGCGGTTGCTCTAAACTAGTACGTTGGATGAGTTTTACTGCAACAGGCGTTACGCAGGAGTCTGTTGCTGTTTCCTCCTCATTAGAGATATTAATGATAGTATTCATTGCACGAATGTGTGTGTGTTGTGTGCGTCTGTGCATGTGACAGAATGATGCATCGGCTTTGTTTAACAGGGAGCACGCACACACCTCTGCAGTCATTCATCAAGCCCACTACCTGAGCTGAGGGCAGTCCTCGGGGAGGTCCCGCGAGTTAACACCCCCCATGTCATCGAGTGGCACTTTTATGTCACCCCACAGCACCTACAGCTCATCGACAATTAAGGTGCAACCTAGAAACCCCTACCCCAAAATCCGCTCCACGTTCATCATTAGTTATAGCTGCCACCGAGCTCCATCGCAGGCAGACCGGAGTGTCGAGGTCAGAGAGAGCCAGCAGGTTGCTTTTATCGATGAATCCCCTGCTGCGGTTGACCTCGATCGGATCAGCCTTTTGAGCACATCCGTCAGTTGATGATGATGTAATTACCTCAATGCTGGTGGCCTAATTGACTTATAACATATAATTACAAGTGCCTAACCCTGCGATGTGACATGTCACTGTCTTTCTTTTGCATTTCCGTAAGCACAATGAGAGATTGGGCTGAAGCGATAACGAGGAACGCCAGCTGGGGGCTGAAAAGGAGAAGAAAATTCACAGAGCTAGGTGGAGTGACAGGCAAAGTTCTGACCAAAAAAAAAGTGAGAAAAAAAGCAAGAAAAGAAGAGCTGCCTCATTTTTTATTCCCTCTGTATTCCTGCAACTCATCAGCCCTCCTCTCCTCCCTCTGTTCCCTATTTCTATCTCTCGGCGTCGCTTAATTACACCCAGTGTTTGCACTGTGGGAGTACGGCTGCCACTTATTGCCCTACTTGTTGTTCCCTTTACTCCGTGTGAGGAATAAGCTGGTGGTGGAAGAAGAGGAAGTGGGAGAGAGAGAGATGGGTGGTGCATGTGTGCAGGTGGTGAGGATCGTGGCACGCTCCTCATTGCTCCTTTGTGCGGTGCAAAACAAGGACACCGCCATGAAATTATGCAGAAGGTAGATCAGACAAAGCCAACTTCTTTCTCTCCTTCTGCTCTCTCCATTCAGCTTCCCCTCATCCTCCTTTTTGTGCCATATGCAAATAGACATAACGGAGAGAAGCCCACTGCAGCGTGTCCTTCATGTACCGCATCATCAGAGTGTATTGACTTAGAGTGAGAGCCTCGTCTCTCCATAGTTCCTCTCCTTAATAAGCCTTTTCACTTCAGCGTACTTGTTAGAGTTTGGTTTGAAAGGACGTGAAAAGGTACAGAGGCTCGTCTGAGGTGTTCATATGCGACTCAGCAGTGTGCGGGAACTACAGCAAACTGGTCAAAAATGTTCAATTATTCAGGCTACTCAACACACAACCACTTGAATAGGTCGGTTATGTGTATTTCAAAATAGACGTGTCTTTTCAGAGATCTGAACGTTATGAGTTGTCTGTCCTTCCATGGTAAATGGACTTTTCTTTAGGTTCCAGGCCTGCCTCGTGACCCTGAATTAGATTATTGGAAGAAAATGGTTGGATGGAGCTTGGAAGTGTTATTTACACTTATTTAAGTTTTAAAAAGTTGAAAATATTATACAAGTAACTTAACGTCTTTTCTTCAGCTGAATGTCTAATATTTACTAAATACTGAGGGCTAAACCGTTTCCCCACAGTCCATCTCTCTCCTGGCACCAGCAGCAGCAGTGTGTCTAAAGCACTGCGCAGTTAGAGCTGAAGCTACATGACACACAGCTGCCACACAGCATGCAGTATTGTTGGGTGGATGCTAGTCTGTTAACTCCTGAAAAGCAATGACTCTTAACAACTTTTCTGGTGGAAACCAAGCATTGCTCTGTGTCCTATTCAGTTTAGTAAAACTGTAGTAAAAAGTTAATAAAGTCACTTGGTAAATTTAAGTAGGTAAATGGAATAAGTTTAATCAAATGCTTTAAAATCCACTATGAAAAGAAATATGAGTAAAACCTGGACGTCATTTGGTCTTTTTTTTTTTTTTTTTTACCAGAAATGACTACAGACAGAAACTGGACTTTGATCAGTCTCATTGCCAAGGGACTGAATGCAAACATGCTGTCAAAGAACAGGAGAATGACTCCCTGGAGACATTCACAGTTGCACTCCTTGAGTACTAGTGCCCTCTATAGGCCAGATGTGGAGCCTCAGCCTATTATGGCAGTGAGTCAAACACATTGGAGCCACTTTGGTCCTGAGCACATTACAGTATTTTGGACTCTCACAGAGACTGAACCACTAAATATTAAGACCAAATGTGAACAGGACCTGGGGTGTTCTTTTGAAGATGGTGAGTGGAAACCACAATGTGAGGGAGCACTACCAGCCACCACAAGGTTTTTCACTTTTAACAACAGCGTCTATTTACACCAGAAAGACACCAAAGACAAATAAATCAATTTCAAATTTTTGCCCTAGATGCAAAATTATAGCCAATAACATGTAAAAATTCAAACACTGCAAAGAGATTCTTAAAGAGATTCTCAGATTTGAGGTCCCTCGCTCTGCTAGATTAACCTTTTTTAGACAACACGTCCCATTTCCTGTTTGCCTGAAGAAAGAATCTGCAGTGAATACTGGCAATAAATATGTCTACGCTGATTAAAGCAATCTCCTCTGACATGTTTTGAGGTTGTGACATTGATTGGTTTCTGTACTCACATGTTGAAGCTTCAACATTTGGTTGTTGCCATGTTTGTTTATTTGCATCCAGACGCAGCCATGTTTAGACTACAGTGTGGAGCACAAAGGTGCTAATGCAAACTAGTTTCTTTAGCATGCTATAGCCATAATCTTTATAGTTGTAACTCACAGATATACTGTTTAACTCGGTGAAAATGAAGCACAAGCCTGCTGGGTAGTCTTTAATACAAAGCATGCCTTTTTATTTTGTCAGATTAGAAATATACTCCAAGAGGCGCTGATAATAGAAAACGAATGGAGAAGTTCAGTTTAGTGAAGTAGCTGAGGTTAAGCCTTATACCACATCTAATAGCTACACCTGTCTTCCCTAACTTTATACCAAATGGCACATACACACACAAATGGTTAAAACATTCAATAAACAAATAGTTAAAATAGCAAAAAGCAGTGAAGTGCAAGCAGGAAAAAAAGGGCAGCCACTGACTTGTAATTCTCTGATCAGGGCTATTGATCACTGCGACCTTCGTCAGTCTTGGCTCCTTATTATCTCATGTCTTCTCTTAATGTGCTATCGACTGTTCTATCACTCAATTGTCAGCCTGGAGAAAAACATACAGTGTAGACAAAGACAAATAGACAGTGGCAGAGAAGATTATCGCCTCAGCGGCCTTGGCTGCTGAGAAACTGTGTGGCAGTTTGTTTTTTAATCACCTGATCACCTCATATGTTTAGTGCTTGCTTGAAGAGAAAGCCCGTGCAGGCGAGTGCGTTACCCGTTAGGTTCCATGTAGTATCTGTGTATTGAGTTTCTCCCTGTCGGAGAAGCACAGCTGCTGTGCAGTGCAGTGCCAGGTGCCCTGCTGGTGCTAATGAACCATCCTCATCAGTCCAGTGGCTTAATTAGAAGACTCTGTTTCTTTGACTGCAATAAGCAAAGAGATGTGTTTTTAAAGAAAAGAAAAGAGGGAGCAAATGAGAGACACAGCAAATAAACAAACTGCGATGGAGGGAGGGGCTGCGTGCGTGTCTAAAAGTGCCTGAAGTGAAGGCCTGGGGGGTAGGGGGCGTGATGAGGTTGCGGGTTGGATCGCTGCAGGCATCCATTCTCCATCTGGTGTGAGCTGCACAGTAACTGACCTAAGAGTGTCCTGCACAAACCCCCACACACACATAGTGCACTAATGCCTCATTGTGTGCCATGTTCCAGCGTGATCAGCAGAGCCCCGGGCCTGAAGCTGGTGGTAGAGACCCTGATGTCATCCCTGAAGCCCATCGGCAACATCGTGGTCATCTGCTGTGCCTTCTTCATTATCTTTGGCATCCTGGGAGTACAGGTGAGAGGGGAGGGGGAAATGGAGAGTATACGCACAGACCTAATGAGAAGACTCTGTAAGCCTGCTTGAGCAATTTGACATGTGATTGAATGCTCGCGCAGGTCTCCACCCTATCCCGAACCACCTTGGGTGTATGTACATCTGGAAGGGCTATCAGAAAAACAGCTATTTTTTTTATGCACTGTCCGACTTATAACTCATAGGCCTGGACGCTTATGTATGCTTATGTGGCCGCAATGAGTTTTAATGGCTAACAGCCCAAGGACCAATCCATACCAACAAGCTCTGTGGCCTTGGTGTAGTTCCAACTCCTGTCTGTCTGCCGTCAGGACATTAATGTCCTTTAACCATCTGTCCAAGTAAAGTAAGGTCATAAAGGGTTAATGGCTGTTATGACACCATGAGGCAGCAGTTGGAATATTCACTCATGAAGTGCAGAATTCAACCTCCAGTGTTCCCAACGCTACCGATCCATATGTTGTCGCTCAGTGTCGATGTGCTTTTGGAGCTTTTTATAGCTTCAGTAAAGAGCATACACACTTTGGCAAAGTCCCATATCACCCTAAATCGTGTAATATGAAACACATACTCTCAGGGTTGAACTAAAGCTTTCAAAACCTGGACTCCAATCACAGCAGGGTCACCTATAAGCCATACAAACTTAACAGTGTTTTTGTGGTGGTTCAAATGTATGTGTGTGTGTGTGTGTTTTCTCCTCAGCTTTTCAAGGGAAAATTCTTCATTTGTCAAGGAGAGGATGTAAGGAACATCACCAATAAGTCAGACTGCTTGCAAGCCAGCTATAAGTGGGTCAGACACAAGTACAACTTTGACAACCTAGGACAAGTAAGACATTCGAAATGTCAAGATTCCTGATGGACAGACGCATGAATAAAAAAAACTGATGATGCTGATCACGTTTTTCAACTGTTTTTAACTTTAGTCCGTGTTTACGTTTCAACCCTGTCATCCTTTCTCAGGCCTTGATGTCTCTCTTTGTGCTGGCGTCAAAAGATGGATGGGTCGACATTATGTACGATGGGCTTGATGCTGTGGGAGTTGACCAACAGGTAAATGTTAAATTGCGCACACAAAATGTTGGCAAGTCCCTTGGCTGTTCAATATAATTTCTGGATTTCGTCTAATACAGCCGTACCTGGCAGGCAGTCATTACTTAGAATGAGTGATGAAGACTTCTTAATGTAAAAAAAAAATCCTCCACATAGAGCTAAAAGAAGATTGATGTTTCCGTCTGCAGCAAGAGCCCTGCACAGAACAGAGCAGGCAGCAATGACAATAGAATAAGACACTGAAGACGTCAGATACAGTATGAAAGGAGGAGGTTGCAAAGCAGGTTGCAGCTACAAAGCACTTGTGAGTAAGGTAAAGCAGCTTTGCTAGTTCGATGTGTGGAAGGACATTACCTGGGCCATCAGCTGACGTGGGCGAGCATCAACATCAGCTGATCTAACCTGATTGTGTCTGACCCGGGTTTGCAGCCAGCCTGAATTAACGTCCTTCCTGATTTTTCTGTTGTTTTTCAGCCCATAATGAACTACAACCCATGGATGTTGCTCTACTTCATCTCCTTCCTCCTGATCGTCGCCTTCTTCGTGCTCAACATGTTTGTAGGCGTGGTGGTGGAGAACTTCCATAAATGCCGGCGCCACCAGGAAGCCGAGGAGGCCAAACGCAGGGAGGAGAAGAGACTGAAACGCATGGAGAAAAAGAGACGGAGTAAGGAGAAGGAGCTGGCTGGTCGGTAGTCTTTCCACATCTTTCTGAGTCCTGCTTGATTCGAGCTTGAGCCTTTTTTTTTCCTTTTTGCTTTTTAATTTGATTTGGCCGAATACGGAAAAACGCAATTAGTGAGCTAGTATCAAATATAGTTGCTACTCTGCGGTAGAACTCCCTTTCCTTCGACCATCCTCTTTCCCTTTTACCGTGAGTAAAATGGAAAGAATTCTTAATCCAGTCTGGTGGTCACCTGCTCTGGCTCTGTAGAGTCTGCTGCAGGCTGTGGAGGCTTTTCTTCGACCCCAGTAATAATTAATCAAGCTGGATGTTAAGAAAAGCTCCCACAATCGGCAGGCTCGCAGAATTAGGACTGATGACCGCTGGAGTTAGCCGCCACCCTTTCCCTCCTCCCTTAACTTGCCTGGTCTACCGTAGACACCGTGCTTGGGATGGCCCCTTGGAGCATGCCCAGTGAGTGCTGACAGATGGGGCTTGCATGGTGGTGGGTATACAGAGCTAGAGGGAGGGGGAGTCAATGATTTCATCACCGTGGCCCGAAAAGGAGATGACCCCCCCTCCCTTCCTCTCTTCTGCATGCGGTTTAGTACAGCCGGAGGAGCAGGGATAGACCAAAATCTGGAAGAAAAGGAGGAAGAGTTTCACCTGTAGCTTGTGAGATTTGCGAAGGAGTTAGAGCTAATTTCACGCCTGTCCCACCCTCACCTCCGGCTGTATAGGAGTTGATGACAAACTGCTTTTTTTTTTCTTTTTACCTATTTTAATACTTTCCACTGCCTCCTACACCCCACAAAACAGTGCTAGCTTCTGCTAGCATTACCCTTCTTGGGAATTTGAGGCCTATACTCATGCCTGTACAGTATTTTGCCGAACCTATTCCAAAGGCACTTTTTTATATATATGTCTATATTTTGTACAAGGAGCAGTGGACACTTTTTTTTTAAAGCCAAAAGGCAAAAACCCCAAACCTTTTCATTTCTTTTATATATATATAATTTTATTTGATAACCGGAATGTTTCCGTCGAGCTCTTGAGAAATACAGATGGAAATTGATCTTGCTTTTACAGGAGGTGTCCGCCAAGGCTATCTCATCCAATCAAGAAATTCACCCCCGACCCTGTCACACACAGTCTACGTGTACACACAGTATATGTCAAGAGGCCCTTTTAACTCGTCTTCTTCTACATCTCTGAGTTTCTTTCCCTGCTTTTTTTTTTCTCCTTCTCTGTTTTTTTTTCCATTGAAACGGTTCTCTTCTTAATTTCTGGCTCAGTATTTTTTGCCAGGATGCTTTTTTGTTTTGGTCTTTAGGGTGGCTAAAGGGCAGTTGATTCCTTAGTAAAACGGCAATACGAAAATGAAAAGTTGCTCATAACAGTTGCAGTTGTAACTCGACAATTTGTAAAGCGGGTGTTTTTGAAACCTTTGGTTTGTTACATGTGAACGTTTTTCATCCAAAGAACTGGACTCAGAATCTCTGGAAAGACGAAAATAACCATAGGCACACAAACCAGCTTAACCTTTCATCGCTACCTTCTAAGCCTTACTCCATCCCTCTTTCCCTCTTTCTATCTCTTTGACTCTCTTCTGTCTCTAACTTTCAGCCATCTTTCCTTTCTCGCTTTCTTCGGCCTCTGCCTGACTAACACGCTCTCATTCCTCTAGATTTATTGGTTCCGGGGGTGAGTTGGGCCCTCTCTGACGGCACACTGAAAGGTACAGAGTTTCCAGCATGTTCTGTGTGTCCCTTTTTAAAACCCCACACCGCCACCGACCACGACCACCCATTAACGGTGGCTAGGGTTAATAAGTTCAATGATCACGGGAGGTAGGGCCCCATCTTGCGTCCCCGCCCCCCTGCCTCTCTCCCATCAGCTCTCAGTCCGCTGGACATGCTGTTACCTGTTTTCTCTGTCGTGCCTTTGTCTTTCACAGCTCTTCCACACCGCTCGTGATCCATCCACTGTTCACAGCACCGCACCGCTGCTGCTGCACCACCAACACCACAAGAAAGGAAGACTTTGGTGTAAAATTTAATTAGCAGGGAAACTCAGGTGGCAAGAGGGAGAGAAGGGAAAAAGAGGTTTCCACATAAGAATTCCAGAGTTTCCTTTAGTGTTTTCCAGACAGACGTGGTGTAATTCTCTCAGTATATGCTTATGATGCTCTTTTCTTTTAGTTACAATAATATTTTTTCTCAGCACCAAAGCCATTTTGTCATTTGAAAGCATGGTGACATTTTTAGAAGAAAGTGTTACAAACTGAGAACATAAATGTTGTAATGGGCATAGAAGTATACTTTAGCATAGCTGTGCTTTAAGCTAACTCTTATTGTCAGCATGCTAACATACGTAGATTCGATAAACGCAGTATTTATATTATTTAGTTTACTGTTTGATTAAAATACAAACCTCAAGGTGGTACTGGAGGAAACTTCTTGACATCACTATAGTAAACAAACGTTAACATAGAAGTTTAAGTAAGTAAAATTGAGCTGTCGGTGGCTCTGGATGAAAAGTCGCTACCACACTCACTAGTCATTCATCATCTTTGATTCAAACAAGACTGTAAACACTTTGTTCGATATTTCACTCTGAATGAAAGTGATCAGCTGGTAAGTGGAGTCATGAAGTTAGTAAAACCGGCCAAGAATCTATAAGCAGCTCTACTTTGACTTTGAGATCTCAGCAATCTTTTGTTTTCTTGGTTTAGTGCAGCTAAACTCAGATAAGCGTAGCGTGACAGATGCTTACTTTGATGACACCAGCATTATGTAGGAGTAGGTCACGGATAATAGGTACTGATTTGTAAATAACTGGACATGTGTCACGGCGAGCTGTGCCGGTGTGTTTGTTAGAGCGGACCCGAAAGCAGACACTGGAGGAAGGAGCTGGTTTGCAAACAGAAGGCAAACCAGCTCCTTCCTCCAGTGTCTTGGTGTTTCATAGTTTCATGTTTTCAGCTGAAAACATGAAACTATGAAACACCAAGAATAACTATGAGAAACTATAACTGACTATGATAACAAAAGGTAAAACTATGAGTATGACTCAGACTGTGACTGGGACTAGATGATATGAGGGAAATTGGCAGACGTCCTGACAATGAATAGTAAGAGACACATGACTTAAATACACACATGAGGTGATCAGGGGAAGTGGAGACACAGCTGACTAGGATGAACATAATGATGCACAGGAAATGTAAACTAAAACACAAAGACATGGAAACTGGACTTTCAAAATAAACAGGAAAACATGACAAGACACAGGCATGACAGCATTAACCAGGCAGACCAGAAACATGACAGATAAGACACAATAAACCACAAGGGGAACTGTAACACATCGGAAGATGACCCAAAGGAAACCTGCTAAACAATGAATAACTACAACTAAGGAACCCAGGATCTAAAAGTACTAACTATAAACAATGAATATCAAAATACAAGAAAACACAAAGCGCTGGGTCATACAACCCCGGACTGTGACAACATGAATAACTTGAGCTTGATATAATATATCAACAGTATATTTCTAACTAGGCAGCTCATTCTCTTTCTCTTCATACTTTATTTAGAACACATTTTGGGGTCGACTTGAAAGAAAGGTAGATGTGAAATGTAAAAGTGAGGTCAGAGGTCAAATGTGACCTGATCTTAGCTGTAAACTATAATGTGATGTTAAGAATCCCCATATACCAGATCTTTTCCTACATTTTGCCAATACAAACAAAGGCAGCTGGATTTTAAGCAGAATTTTAAAGATAAAAGACATTTTAATGAAGGTTTGACCTTAATTGACCTTGAGGAGAGGTCATATATCATTCCCTGTATGCCAATGTATTGTCAATACAAACAATGGCAGTAAGAAAAATAGTTTTAAATAGCTCTGTGCAACATTTCTATTACTTTGACTTTCAAATCAGCCTACTGAATTTAGTGAAGCCCTGCAAGGGACGTTGGAGAAAGAAAAAAAGAAAAAGATGGACTTTTGCGAGATGTCCCTTGCAGGGCTCCGTAGTAAGCACATCAAATAAACAGGGCATGAAGTTTTCTAATCTTGATGTTTAATAAAAAAGTCTTTTAATTTTCTCAGTTTCCCCCGCTGGTATCAAAACCTGCACTGAGTATTTCAGCATCAAGTTTGAAATTCTAGTACCGCAAGCTGCGACAACACTAGATGATAATACCGATCCTTTTTTGTTTTACACCGTTTACCATTTAGTAACAAGTTCTGGCAAACGTATTCGGTACTGACCAAAAAAGTTACTGACCTATCAAAACCAATAGGAAAGAAGCTAAAGACCAGTTTTGATTACTCAGAATTATTCGTTAAACTTTAATAATGTGTTGGATTTCTCTCTCTTGCGTTGTGTCTTGTAACTTCAGCTCACTGCTGTCACTATAGATTGGTACCAAAAAGGTACAGGTAAAATTATCTATTAAGGCTTACCAGCCTCTATTAAAAGGCCACAGAGATTCAATCAAGAAATTCCTGTTATTTGGTCCCTGAATCTTTGCTTAGTTTAGAAATCTTCATTTAGGACATCCAGAATCAGAATGTGTAGATGTTGCTATATTATTAAACTGAAATCAGCTCCAGCTTGTTTCGCTCAAGGGTTTAAACAGTTCCTTTGGTCTATTTCTACTTTATTACGTGTGCATCGGTATTAAATCATGATCTCAAATAGAATAAAAGAATGTCCGATTCACTAGGAAACACTGTGTGCAAAGGTCGCATCGGTATGAGTTGTGATTAGCTGAGACCACAGCAGGTTTGTTCACAGCAGCTGCCTCTTGTTGGGCATAAAAGGTCATCCTGGGGCGGTGTGACCACTGCCTGAATTGTCACAAGTAGTTTCCATGGAAATCTGTTAAAGGTATTGTTATGAAAGATGGAAGCTCGTGAATGAGAGTTTGTGTGAGTAGGCTTAGCTATATCCCGATGGTCCCATCATTGCCTCGGTTTACTTACAGCAGGTAAGCGGGAGTGGTGTCTGTTAATTTGTGGCACGTTCCTGGAAGGTAGACCCGGCTGTGTTGCTTCATATTCTTGTGTGCATATGAGTGTGTCGGGGAGCAGATGGCTGTAAAACAGGTTGTGAAATATGCAGGAGCAGCTATCTCATCCTCAAATCCCCCCCCCCCTTCCCTCCTCTCAGTGTGGATGAATGTCTGACCCCCACAGCCTCTCTGTTGATCCTTTTTTGCCTCAGTGTCTTGTAACATTTAGGTAGTTTTACCCAAAAGGTAATTACAGTACTGACACAAACACAAAAGTCCCACAGAAAAACTGCGTATGTGTATTTGAGGTGTCCAGCACACTCCACACTGAGGTGCATTAAGATTTCCACTGATGATGCAGGGAGGAGGAGAAGATATGTACGTGGGTGGAGGAGGTGGCAGAGTTACACAAACACTGTATCAGGCTGTAATAATGCAGTGATGTAAGCACAGACAGGTGCACGCTGAAGAAGAAGTGGCGATGCATTGTGACATGCAGAGAGCGAGCGCAGAAACACCTAAGGCTAAATTTGAAACTCTGCCCTGTTGTTGGAGTTGACTTGTTGTGTTGAGTCACAGTCAGCTGGCTGTGGCAGACACATCAAGTGAAGCTACAGTGCACTGCATGGTGTATGCAGCAAATTGTAAATATAGCTGCGTGCTGCTTCCTCCCTCTCGAGGAGCTACCACAGTGATAGCGTTCTGGATCTTTTGACACACAGCGGCTTGCATCAGGGTAATGATGCTCTTAGTGTTGATGCCTGAGTCTATAGGCTGTTGGCTGTGATTATGCAGCCATAGTATTAAATGTAGTCACAGTTACTCTATAAAAAACTCTATAATGTCTTTTACAGTAACAATTTGAAGCTTGTGGACCTGAGAAGAAAGGCCCAAGTTCCCAGACCCCATCGTGTTGTCAAATTAGTGTAGAAAGTCTAAAACTGAGAGGAATTCTACTTTCAAAAAATTGTAGGGTTGCAAAGGAAATCAGCATAATTTCACTGCACTGCTTGGTTAATTCTGCAGATCTGCTCGTTATCTGTATTCCATACTTCGAAGTAGCCAGCTACATTACCACTGTACATATTATAGAGCTACCAAAAATACTGCTGTAATACAGTTGTATACATGTATATTTTATACAGAGGAACCAAAACGCTACCTTCTTATACTGCACAGAAGTTGTGAGGAAGCGGTCAAACCAAATCATAGAGTTACAAAGTAAAAGCTAAACAATTAGAACAGAAACTATGAAACAAAGCCCAAGACATTCGCTTCCTCTTAGATGAAGTTTGATGACGTTTTTACTAGGGGTGCAACGATACACAAAATTCACGGTTCGGTTCGGTTCGATACTTTGGTGTCACGGTTTGATATTTTTTCGATACAAAAAAATGTTCATGCTTTTTTAATTTGTCATTTATTAAAATTATAAATATATATTTTAACTCAAAATGTACAGTTTTTAAATGTAATGTTGCTGAAACAACAAAATAATAGTAAAAAATAAATCTATCTGATCGAGAAATCACTCATCTTTGGAAAAGAGAGTTTATTACAGAGAAATGTCTCTTTCCAAAATAAAAGCTATACTATACACTTCTTCTGGGCTATATTCTCAGCAGCATATTAAACGTATCAGGTCCCCATAAGGAGAATCATGTGCTAACGGCTGTCTAAATGACTCGGGTAAAGTTTGTAGCATGCGTGC